CTGCAACTTGCGCTTAGCCGCCGCACGAATGCAGCCGCAGCCCGCGCACGGCCGCACCCTAGGCGTCGCCGCGCAACGTGTATAGGCCCGCCATCGCGCCGCCCTACCTGCCCGAACCGCGCCGCCCGAGTCGCGCCGCCCGAGATGCGCCGCCCTGACCGAGCCGCGCCGCCCCACCTGCAGCAACTGTTGTTCCTGTTCTTGTTGTTACAACTGTGCTTACTGCTATAGCTGCTACTGCTACTGCTCTTACTGCTACTACTACTACTGCTACTGCTGCTTCTGCTACTGAGAAGAAGTGAACGAGAATGAAATGACTATGAACGAAGTGAGTACAAATAGGAAACCCTAATTGGGTTGTACCCCCTATGGGATGCCCCACTATAGCCTACACAAATAAGTAAGCTATAATGTTCAGACACACCCCCATAGGCAAAGTGGGGGAGAACAAGGGGTCACAAGACCAGTCAAGCAAAGCAAAGCAAAGCAAAGCAAAGCTCATGGTGGATCACAAAGTCACCACACATTCCGAGCACAAGTTCAAAGGCCACACGGCTAGTTCACATGCAAAATCATATATAGAGATATACAAGAGTAAGAGTAAATATAGGTGAAGGTACAAGCAAGGTCAAGAAGTGAGCAAGTGAGGCAAGATAGGCACAAGACCCAGCTGCGTGCAGCAGCGCTGATGATCACAAGGCGCAAGTGCCTTGGTGAAGACATCAGCAGTGTTGGCTTCAGAGGCCACGTACGCAAGTCGCAACTGTCCACGCTGCTGTAGCTCACGAGCAAGAAAGTAGCGGAGAGCAATGTGCTTTGTCCTGTGCTCCAGTCGCTGCTCTTGACACAAGGCCAGCATGGCCTTGTTGTCTACGTACAAGATTGGAGGAGAATAAGGCGGCTCTCCAAGGACGGTCAGCAGGTAGGTGAGCCAGCGAAGCTCCTGGGCAGCCATAGCCCCGGCGTAGATCTCAGCCTCACAACTGGAGCCGAGGACAGAAGACGAGCGGGTAGCCCGCCACGAAACAGAGCCGGAAACAAGGCTGAAAGTGTAACCCTGTGACGACCGCTGCGTAGCCTGGTCGTCAGCCCAAGAAGCGACCGTGTGCCCAGTGAGGACCACTGGACTCCGCCCTCCAAGCACTAGCCCCATGCGCGACGTACTGCACAAGTAGCGCAACACCCTCTTCGCTGCAGTCATGTGCTCTGGTCGATCTCTCCCAGGAGCAACATAGCGTGCGAGAATGCTAAGAGGGTATGCAAGGTCAGGTCGTGTGCAGGTCATCAGGTACATGAGACAGCCAACAAGCTCTGCATACGGGCCACTCGACTCTACGGACTCATCCGAAGGCAGAGCTGAGAGTGAGTGGCGAGTAGGCAGAGGAGTGGCCTGAGGCGAGGAGTACGTGAAGCCGAAGCGCTGAAGGACCTGCTGCACCATGTGTGACTGAGTCAGGGTAATGGTGCGGCGTGCTCTGTCCCGGGTGATCTGCAAGCCAAGGTAGCTGCGCAGTTCACCCAGGTCAGTGCACGTGTGTCTCTTCTGCAGCTCGGACTTCACGTAGGCGAGTCCAGCAGTGTCAGCTGTGGCAAAGACCAAGTCGTCGACGTACACGAGGATGTAGAACGGCCGCAGAGAGGTGTCGGTGCGCAGAAACAGCGACGGGTCGGCAGTAGAAGGAGCAAACCCAAGAGCCGCAAGCGTAGTCCTCAGTGTGTCGTGCCACTCACGTGGCGCCTTGCGGAGACCGTAGACTGGACGCCGGAGGCTCCACTGGGTACCAGGAGGGAAAGACCCAGTGAAGCCAGGTGGGCGACGCAGCCAGATCTCCTCGTGCAGGCTGCCCTGCAAGAAAGCAGTGTTGAAGTCGAGAGAGTGCAGCTCGTAGTCACGGTGAGCAGCAACGTGCAGCAGTACCCGAAGAGTGGTCATCTTCGGGGTGGGGGAGAAGGTCTGAAAGTAGTCAACTCCCTGCCGCTTACTGAAGCCACGAGCCACGTAACGCGCCTTGAAGACAGGCGGAGAACCCGGCGGCCGCTTCACCCTGAAGATCCACATGCCACTGACTATGTTCCCTCCAGGAGGGGGAACAGCGTCAACGTAGGTGCCTGTGGACTTCCAGGAAGCCATCTCATAGCTGCCTGCCACTGAGAGGAGTAGGGACCCTCTATCGCCTCCGCGTAAGAGCGCGGAGTCGGGATGTCTAGTGCATCCGGGTCTCCCTCAGGGGCGAGCAGTACAGACGCGAGATGAGGTGAAGCAGCGGCCAGACACTGTAACTCCTCCTGCCTGTCCTCAAGGACGTCCATGCCCAGGGCACACTCACCCCCGACGGACGGAGGACAGGCAGACTCAGACTCAGCGACAAGACTAGCAGTGAAGTCTAGACGACAACGTGCAGCAAAGTCGACGAGCTCAGTGACAAGGGCAGACGCAGCAGAAGACTCGAAAGAAGGGTCAGTGACAGCAGTAGCAAGGAGACGCGTGACAGTAGGACTGGCAGCACGAAGAGAGTCCGACTCCGGGTCGGCAAGAGCAGGAAGAGAGGAAGCAGGAGGAGAAGGCAAAGGGGCACGCACAGGAGCAGTGGACGGACGCAGAGACATCCGGTGCGTGCCAGGGACAGGAGGAGGACGCTGACGCGAACCGCGACCACTAGTGCGCGCAGTACGAACAGGCGACGCAGGACGAGACGCAGGCTCACGATGCTCAGTAAGACCTCCAGTCGGACCAGTGTAGGGAGAAGGAGCAGGCAAAGGGGAGGCAAGTTGTAGCTGTGACTGCGACAGGACAGGCTGTGGACCCGCTAAGGGAGAAGGAGAAGGACAAGAAGAAGGTGTAAGACCAAGAACCTGCTGCAGGAGCGGAACGAAGTATGGTCGGGGCCGCGTGGCGACGCCAGAAACAGCACGGACAGCACCAGTACCCCCAGCAGGAGCACCCGCTCCAGCAGCACCTGAACCCCCAGTAGCACCTCCAGCAGTCCCAGAACCTCCAGCAGCACCAGGAGCACCGCCAGTCGGACCGCTAGTGACAGTCTCAGCGCCAACACCCTCAGCAGCACCAGCTCCAGTCGAACCCGCAGGCCCAGCAGCTCTAGTACTCCCAGGACGAGCACCTCCGGGACCCGCGGCAGCAGCACCCTTAGCAGTCGAAGAACCTCCAGCACCAGCAGCACGCCTCCAGCGCCGGGCAAACCACTCAAGCACCCGGAGAACCTCCAGGCGAAGAAACCCAGGCTCAGCACCCCCAGGCAAAGCACCTCCAGGCGTAGTACCTCCCGGCTCAGCACCCCCAGGCTCAGCATCCCCAGGCACAGCACCCCCAGGCTCAGCACCCCCAGGCTCAGCACCCCCAGGCTCAGCACCCCCAGGCTCAGCACCCCCAAGCTCAGCACCCCCAGTCTCAGCACCCCCAGGCAAAGCACCTCCAGGCATAGCACCTCCAGTCTCAGCACCCCCAGGCCCAACACCCGCAGCAGCACCAGAGTCACCAGTGACCTCGACAGGCTCGACCGCGTCTACCTGGGACACACCTGAAGGGGCAGGACCCTGAGGGGTGAGGGGGTCGATCGGGGGGGGGACCTGGTACCAAGAAGAGCGGGAGCGGGGGTAGGGACGGAGTGCGGTAGGGGAAGAGGCGGTAGTAGGGTACCGACTCGTCGAACGTGACGTCCTGGGAGGACAGAACACGATGAGAGGTGGGGTGGTAGAACTGCCACCTAGGGGCGTCGGGGGGGAACCCCAGGAAGACGCAGGGAGCAGCGCGAGGGGACAGCTTGTCCGCAGACAAGTCGCGGACAAACGCCCGAGATCCCCAGACCCGGAACGCCGACGCATCGCCAACCTTCCCCGTCCACAGCAGGGCTGGGGAGGTCTCTGGCCTGGACACCCTGGGGTTGAGGTTGATCTGATGCGCCGCGTACCTGACCGCAAACGGCCACAGAAAATGGGGGGCAGCCGCATGCATCATAGACGTACGAGCGACGTCCATGACCATGCCAATGCGGCGCTCTGCAATCCCATTTTTCTGCGGTGAGTCCGGAAGCGTGAAGGTCTGACGGATGCCTCGCGCACGACAGTAGGCACGCAGAAGGCCAGAGGAGAACTCTCCGCCTCTGTCTGAGTGCAGACGCAACACAGGAAAGTCCGAGCCAAAGCTCTGCCTGAGCTGGAGACGAGCTGCGCGGATCCAGTCGATCAGCACGTCAGTGACATCACCCTTGCTGCACAAGGGGAAGACTGTGGTGTAACGCGAGTAGTCGTCAACCACCAACAGGAAGTAGCGCTCGTGACCTAGTCCACGGACGCGGGCAGGGCCCCACACGTCCATGTGAAGTGTCTGCAACGGAGCCTCTGTCGGAGGAAACTGGGAGGAGTGAGGGGCAGCACGCTGGCGCCCCTCGACACAGGGGACACAGGCAGGGCCAGGGCCCTGAGGAAGGGGAGGGAGGGACCGGGGGAGACCAGACACAAGAAGACGGGAGGCCATGCCTCTGAGCCGAAGCAGAGAGGGGTGGCCAAGGCGGTGGAGCCAGAGGAGGGTCTCGTGAGACAGACCGCGACACGAATAGGGGGCAGACTCAGGACCAGACCTAGACGCTGCAGCAAACACCTGACCAGACAAAGGGACTCTACCAGACTCAGCACCTGGAGGAGAAGCAGTGGTCAGTGTGTACAGGCTCGACCCTGGCTGACGTGTAAACGTAGCCAGGTGGCGACCTGTGCTAGCCTCTGTGCAGTGTGTCACCCGCTGACGAGCAGGAGTGAACTGGTGGACACCCACATCCTGCAGGTCAGCACCACTCACCAGGTTCGTAGAGAACGAGGGGAGGTAGAGACCAGTCAGGGTGCCAGAGGGAGCCGCCGGACACGGGAGGACTGTGGAGAAACGAGACAGGACAGGACCCCCAGAGGGGTCAGCCAGGGACACCGCAACCGGCCGACTAAGCGGCGTGAGAGTGGTGCGGTCCCGAAAGAAGGAGCGAGACGCCCCAGAGTCAAGGGTGAAGGTGTGAGAGGCCGAAGCCGACACAGTACCTGAGAGTGCAGACTCACTAGTACCTGAGAGCACAGACGCACTGGCACCTAGAGCAGCAGCCTCACTGGCACCTAACGCAGCAGTACCAATGCCCGGGTCGGGCGGGAAACACCGGTAACAGTCACCCTCTTCACTAACAGTCACAGCATACATGGCAGCAAGGATAGCATCAAAGTCAAGATCAAAGATAGCTACACCAGCCCTAGACATCTCTCCCCAGCGGGGGATCTCAGAGGCCTCCGGAAACTGCTGGCGCCAAGCGTCGGTCAAGCGGGCAAAGCAGCGGCGGGCGGTGTGGGTGCCCCCACACTGCTCACCCGCGCGGTCGCCGGTGCGAAGGACGTAGGTGCATGGACCGAACGCCCCACCACGCTGACGCTGCAAGTACCACTCACGGAGCTGCTGAGGGGCGGGGACGTCGCGAGAGCGCTGCTGCTGCTGCTTCTGCTGCTGGCGCTGACCACCCCCAGTGCTGCTCCGCTGGGACGAGCCACTCCGACCACCTCCACCACCGCCACCCCCGTCTCCGCCGCCACCGCCGCCACCGCCACCCTCGCCCCCGCCGCTCCCACCGCCACCTCCACCGCCACCTCCGCCGCCACCTCCGCCTCCTCTGCCGCCACTAGTACCTCCACCCCCGCCACCACCTCCACCGCCACCCCCACTCCCCCCGCCGCCCCCACCTCCTCCGCCACCGCCCCCGCTAGCTCCACCCGCTCCCTTGCCCCCCTTGCCCTTGCCAGAGCGACGCCTACCGCTGGGGGCAGACGCCGCACCGACTGACTTTAGACCAACGAGGTCGGCCGCAGCAGCAGAGGCGACAGAGGGTAACAGGGGGGAAGGAGAACACCCCTCAAAGATGGGGGCGCGGGGGTCACAACGAGAGGCCCCTACAGCGACTATGCTCTTCTCGGCCGCTAGCAGGGACTTCTCGAGGAGGTCGACAGTGAGGGTGGTGGGACAGACAGAGAGAAACTGGTCCCTAACAGCACGAAGGGACTCAGGGAGACGGGTGACGAGAAAGTAGAGGGTGATGTACATGGGAGGGGGGTTATCGGCGCAGAAGGCAGCAGGAAGCGCAGCTCGGTAGCGAGTGTCACTAGCGCGAAGGTGGGTAAAGAGGTCAGCGAGTGTAGGAAAGGCAGCAAGGTCAGGGAAGAGGTAAGGTAGCATGAGGCGGCTCAATGTAGCAGTGGAAGGGGAGGAGTAGCGCGCAACTACAGCGTCGTACAAGGCCTGAGCACTCTTGCACTGACTAGAGTGTGCACGCTCAGAGGAAGGGAGGTGGCGACGCACAGCAAGACGTGCAGCAGCATCGCGTGTGGCCCACTTGGAGCGAACAGTGGGGTCAGCATCAGCAGGAGGGGCAGGGACAGCGCCAGAGGCAAAGTCAAAGAGAGAGATGTCATCTACTGAATTGCACTGCAAGTACAGCTGCAGGTCCTCGACCCAGACCGCAAAGTCAATGGCGCGACCCTCAGCGTCAAAGGCCAGGACACTAGGGGTGGCCATGATAGCAGCCTACGGTCTCACCGGAGAGGAAGGGTCGAGCAGCTCAGTAGGACAGCAACACAGCAGCTCAGCAACTCTGCCAGCCCAGGAGTAGCAGCAGCCCCACAGGACCTGGCTCTCGGCACCGTAGGCGGCTCGGGCGGCTCGGGCGTTCAGCGGCAGTGGCGACTCGGGCGGCTCTGCTGCTCGGGCGGCGCGCGCGGCTCGGGTGACGCGGGTGACACGGGCGGCGCGGGCGTCGTGACGGGCTGCGCACGGGCGGCTCACGGGCGGCTCACGGGCGGCTGCACGGGCGGCTATACGGGCGGCACTGGCGGCTCACGGGCGGCACGACGGGCGGCTGCACGGGCGGCTGAACGGGCGGCTGCACGGGCGGCTGCACGGGCGGCTGTACGGGCGGCTGCACGGGCGGCTGCACGGGCGACTCACGGGCGTCCGAGGGCGGCTGCACGGGCGGCACGTCGGGCGGCTGACGGGCGGCGCATTGGCAGCTCACGGGCGGCTGTACGGGCGGCGCGTCGAACAGCCGCGGGCGGCTGACGGGCGGCAGACGGGTGGTGCACGTGCAGTGCACGTGCAGCTCACGGGCAGCCGAGGGCGGCGCACGGGCGGCGCGTCGGGCGGCTCACGGGCGGCTCACGGGCGGCTCACAGGCGGCTGACGGGCAGCTAAGGGCGACGCGCGGACGGCGCGTGGGCTGCCTGGGGCCTAGCGAGCGGCGCGCGGGCTGATTAGGGCGGCGCGCGTGCCGCCTAGGGTGGCGCGCGGGCTGCTAAGGGCGGCGCGCGGGCTGCTAAGGGCGGCGCGCGAGCTGCAAAGGGCGGCGCGCAGGCTGCACAGGGCCTGGACGGGCGGCGCGCTAGCGTCTAGGGCGGCGCGCTGGCGGCGTGAGGCCTGAACGGGCAGCGCGCGGGCGGCTCAAGGCCGGTCGACAGAGTAAGAGAGAGCCTGGAGTGCGCTCCGGGCAGAAAAAAAAGTTCGAAGTAGTGGTGGGCCCTAAGCACAGTTCCCACAAGGGAACCTGCTCGATACCATGAGAAGAAGTGAACGAGAATGAAATGACTATGAACGAAGTGAGTACAAATAGGAAACCCTAATTGGGTTGTACCCCCTATGGGATACCCCACTATAGCCTACACAAATAAGTAAGCTATAATGTTCTGACAGCTACTGCTGCTACTGCCACTATGGCCACTCCTACCGTTCTCACTTTTGACGCTGAGGGTCGTCCGATTAAGTTTGATGTTTGGCTCGATGACATGCACCTGTTCCTCCAGATCACTGCCAAGGACGATGTTTCCCTGTATGACCACACGTTCGGCACCGCTCCCGCACCTGCTGCCACTGCTAACAGTACTGCTCGCTCACAGTGGCAGACCCGTGACGCTCATGCTCGCCTAGCCGTTCGTACCACCTGCCGTTAGATGAGTGCGAGCATTTTGGCCAGCATAAGACCGCTAAGGAGCTGTACGATGCTGTCGTTGCACGCTACTCCTCCCCTGCTACTACTGCGATAGGCCGTCTCTCGCTGCCCTATCTCTACCCCGATCTGTCTGCCTTTGCCATCGTAGCTGACCTCATCACTCACCTCCGAACTAGTGATCTCCGCTACTGTGCCACGCTTCACCCCGATTTCCTAGCCAAGAACCCTCCCCCGATGTACCTCATACTCTACCACCTAGTCACTCGCCTCCCTGACTCTCTTCGCGCTGTCAGGGACCACTTTCTTGCCCTCTCCCCCACTGACCTCATTGTCGACCTGCTCGAGAAGGAACTCCTTGCAGCTGAGAAGAGCATTGTAGCTGTAGGTGCCTCTCGTGGCGACCCTCGCACTCCCTTCTTTGAGGGATGTTCCCCCTCCTTCCTCCCCTCCATTGCATCTTCTGCTGCTGTCGACTACCTCGATGCTGAGGGGGTCGGGGCTGCGTCTGCTCCTAGTGGGAGGCGCAAGGGCAGCAGGGGCAAGGGGGGCAGGGGTGGCGGAGGTGGCGGCAGGGGCGGCAGTGGTGGACGAGGTGGAGGGGGCGGCGGCGGGGGTGGCGGTGGTGGGAGTGGTGCTGGTGGTGAGGGGGTCAGTGGCGGAGCCGGGGGTGGTGGCGGCGGCGGTGGTGGGGGTGGGGGGGGTGGTGGTGGCACTGGTGGCGGTAGTGGAGCTGGTGGCAGACGCGGTGGAGCTGTGGAGCGTGGCGGGTTCGGCGGTGGCCAGAGGCAGCAGCAGCAGCGTCCCAGCGAGACCCAGTCGCCTCAGCAGCTACGTGAGTGGTACTCTCAGCGTGGGGGGTCTGGGGTGGAGGTACCTGCCCGTACGTCATCCGCACAGGTGACCGCACTGGCAAGACCTGTGGGAGGTTCCACACGGCGCAGCACTGCTCCTTTCGTCTCGACGACGCCTGGCGCGAGCAGGTCCTTGACGCCTCTGAGCTGCCCCGTTGGGCTGATCTGCTTAAAAAGAACATTGATATCTTTGCTCTTGATTTTGATGCTATCCTTGGTGCTATGTATGCATTGACTATCAGTGTTGAGGGTGACTGTTATCTGCGTGTACCGCCCGACCCGGGTATTGGGACCAGTGAGGCTGCCGCTCCAGGTGCTAGTGCGTCCGCTGCCTTAGGTCCTGGTGAGGCTGCTACTCTAGGTGCTAGTGAGTCTGCTTCTCCAGGTAGTCGTGCGTCTGCGCCTACTAGTATTGCGTCTACTGAGGCACTGCACACCTTCACACTGGACTCGGGTGCTTCCCGCTGCTTCTTTCGTGACCGCAATGTCCTTGAGCGGCTAGCTCGGCCTGTTGCTGTCTCCCTCGCTGACCCCTCTAGGGGCCCGGTCCTTGCGACCTCCTCCACTGTCCTCCCTTGTCCTGCGGTCCCGTCCGGCACCCTGTTAGGTCTTTACCTTCCCTCGTTCTCTACGAACTTGGTGGCGGGCTCTGCTCTATGGGACGGGGGTGTTCACCAGTTCACCCCTGTCTATGAGCGTGTGACCCACTCTACATGTGCTCGGACGGGTTGCCACCTGGCTACCTTCACTAGGCAGCCGGGGTCGGACTTGTACACACTGACCATTGAGTCCCCTCAGGTACCTGCGTCTGCGTTTGTGTCAGGTCAGCTGTCGGCCCCCTGCTCGTGTTGCACCCTGTCACACCAGACTGTCCTCTGGCACCACCGCCTGGGTCACCTGTCAGTGCAGCGCCTTCGTGGCATGCACTCTCAGTACCTTGTCTCTGGTCTTCCCAGGGTTCTCCCTCCCCTCCCACCCTCGCGTGCTCCTCCCTGTCTTCCCTGTGTCGAGGGGCGGCAGCGCGTAGCTCCTCACTCCTCCTTGTTCCCTCCCACAGAGGCTCCCCAGCAGTCTCTCCACCCGGACGTGTGGGGCCCAGCCCGCGTCCGTGGACAGGGCCACGAGCGGTACTTCCTGCTGGTCGTCGACCACTACACACGCTACACCACGGTCTTCCCCTTGCGCACTAAGGGTGAGGCCCCTGATGTTTTGATCCCTTGGATCCGCGCTGCTCGTCTCTAGCTCCGCAAGCGGTTCCAGTCAGACTTTCCCGTCTAGCGTCTGCACTCTGAGAGGGGTGGTGAGTTTTCCTCCGACCTCTTGGCAGCCTACTGTGCGGAGCACGGCATCCGCCATACATTCACGCTTCCGGCCTCTCCACAGCAGAATGGGGTTGCTGAGCGCCGCATTGGCCTAGTCATGGAGGTCGCTCGTACCTCCATGATCCATGCGGCTGCCCCCCATTTCCTGTGGCCGTTTTCAGTGCAGTACGCTGCGCATCAGCTCAACCTCTGGCCCCATGTCTCTGCTTCGGAGACCTCGCCCACACTGCGTTGGACGGGGGAGGTTGGCGATGCGTCGGTGTTCCGGGTCTGGGGATGTCGAGCCTTTGTCCGCGATACGTCCGCGGACAAGCTCTCCTCCCCTGCCTTTCCCTGTGTCTTCCTTGGCTTTGTCCCTGACGCGCCTGGCTGGCAGTTTTACCACCCCACCTCGCGCCGTGTCTTCCCCTCTCAGGACGTCACTTTTGACGAGTCGGTACCCTTTTACCGTCTCTTCCCCTACCGCACTGCCCCGCTTCCCCCCCCCCCCGCCGCCGCTCTTCCTCACCCCAGGTGTCCTGTCGGTAGACCCCCTCCCTCCCCAGGGTGCTGCTCCCTCAGGTGTTTCCCAGGTAGACCCGGTCGAGCCTGTCGAGGTAGCTGTCGACTCTGGTCCTGCAAGGGGTATTGAGCCTGGGGGTGCTGAGAAAGAGGGTGCTGAGCCTGGGGGTGCTGCGGCTGGGGGTGCTGAGCCTGGGGGTGTTGCTACTGGGGGTGCTAAGCTTGGGGGTGCTGCGACTGGGGGTGCTGAGCCTAGAGGAGCTGAGGCTGGGGGTTTTGAGACTAACCGTGATGCGCCTGGTGGCGCTCCCTCTTCACAGCAGTTGCGTTAGTGGTACTCCTAGAGTTGCAGCCTCCTGCGTGGGGCTACTGGAGCTGGGGGTTCTGCTGGAGTTGGGGTTTGTGGTCCTGCGGGTGCGGTATCACGGCCGGAGCCTCCCTCCTCTCAGCGTCTACGTGAGTGGTACACTCGGCGCTGCAGCCTCCGGAGTGGAGCTCCTAGTCTTGGGGTGCTGCCTGCTAGAGGCCCTGGTGCTGCTGGAGGTGCTGGAGTCCCTGGTCCTGGAGCTGCCGGGACTGGAGGTTCTGCTGGTACTGGTGCTGCTACTGCTGGAGGTACTGGAGCTGCTGGAGGTGCTGCTGGTGCTGGTCCTGCTGGAGGTGCTGCTGGAACTGCTGTCGGAACCTCCCCACCTCCCTGCTGCTTGTTCTCTCAGACTCCAGTCCTCGCAGCTCTCTCCTCCCTTATCTCCCCGAATTGGACTCGTTGGATCTCACCCCTTTGGCTCCCCCCCCCTTCTACCAGGAACCTCTCTTGCCCTCGTCAGTCTTACTGATTGTCCTCCTGGTGTGGCCTCTGCCTGCACACTCTCTTCCTCACTCCCTCTTCTCTGGTTCTGCTTC